ATATTATATTGTATACCATAACACTACAGTCAGCATCCAGGTACCGTATAGACCAAAGGAGACCATGAGCTTTATGTATAGCTCATGAGAGACTAATTTTAGTAAAATTACAAGCGAATGCCCAGCGTGGGAGCCGAAGCCCCGACCTAAGGTCAGAGCCCTAAGCGCTACCACTGTGCCATAGAGCTATTATCCGGAGTAGTGACGTAAAAGCTATAGCCAATCGCTCCCGTCGCTCGACACAGAAAAGTACACATTTGGGTATTGTATTGAACTCGTTGTTCGTTTATTTTGATAGTTTTTTTTCCGTGCCAATCCTGATATGGTAATTATACAGCCAAGCACTCGTTTCGACGCGTTAATTTTCTCTGCTCTTCATTAGAGTAGCATTTTTCACGAGTTGGTGTGTCACACTCAATTTCGGGCTTCCATTTATCATACGTACACATTTTGAAACACATGGGGAGTTCTTTTTTATTAATGTACTTTAGTAAAATGTTTCCATGTATAGACCACAACCAGATGCGCTTGACCAGTTTGACTTTTCAATTTATAAAGCGCATAGAGGCTTTATAAATGCAATAATGTAAATCTCGGTTTTTAATAATAAGCATTTTGTACGTTGTAATCATTAAAGCAGTGGTTTATTATTATTCTAATGATCAAGATTGTATCTTTTTTTTTTAGATTGTTAAAAAAGAGTAACTTATAATAAAATGCCAAGTGTTTCATTAACAGTGCATGCTCGTCTCTCCACGGTCCCCTTAATACGCTGACATTTAGGCCTACATAACACAATAAATCAAAGAATTCGAGTTGGTAACTTGTATACAGACAGCTTCATTGTTCGCTAACTTCCCGAGCGTAAAGTGTCTAATCGTTCCAATTGAAGATTTTCTTAAAGTGCTCACTCACAGCTTCGCCTCCCACACACTACTCTGCGCCTGATATTTCTTCTGACTATTGATGAACACTTAATTTGGTCAACGCTCTCTTAACTTGCTGTATCGACTTAGTTCGTCAGTTCGTACTCATGTTTTTAGACACCAATTCTGCACTGTGACGCAGAGTTGTGACTAAAGCCAATCAAATAGAACACGGGCCTGTCATTTCTTCAGAAATCATATTTCAGTTCCTTCTGTGTTACTAAAATGCTACTTCCTAAAATGATTTTAATTTTATGTCAGCGATTCCCCTAGATCAGTGTTATTCACTACCGTCTGTTAATCCCCGACGCTAGCTCATAATCCCATGTGACCAGAAAGGTCACTTTGTACGGCTATATGCTACAGCAGTAGTTATTTATAAAAAGTAAATATACCATTGACATTTAGGAATCGTAATAAATCCCGATAACGGAGCTAAAATTCAAGAGACTGCATTTTGCGAATCAACATCATTTTTACTTTTTGTATTTGAACACCAAATAAAGTAACTCAGGACACTTATTATTAAAAATGTTCGTTTTACGCAACAGAATAATGCCCAGATAGCAGTTGTTGTTAGTCATATTATTTTCATAATAGCTACATCCATATTTAAATGATAGAGTAATTTCGTTCAATGATTTTGAAAAAAAAAGTGAAAAGCCAACTATCGGAAAGCGAGGAAATATTTATAATATTTGAGTATCCGAGGCTTTAAACGATATTACAGGCCCTGGTGAAATCGGAAAAATGGCCAAGTTCCAAATTGTAATACTTAGGTCCTGAAAATTCTGAGATCCCTGGAGGCCTCGGGGAAATTTACCCCTTTGCTTAATCGTTTAACTAAAACCAATTGAAGTTTAATAATTTAATCATCGTGATGGAGATGTACATAAGTAATTTAATTGATTTGACTCTGATATCTCCATAACGAATACAAATACAATTTGGGTGGGGTGGGGGTTGGGTGAGGTATCCTTCCCAGCCCCTGTTATTGTCTCATTCTTTCTTTGTTATTTTGTATCCTTGGGACTGGTTAGTGATAATAAGTTCGTACGATAGTCCTCCACAGAAATCAGTCTTCCTTTTGTATGGAAGGCTTAGAACTCAAAAATGCATGGTTAATTCGCCGTCTGGCCTGCAAGGAAACCAACAAGGTTACACCCCACCACTATAAAAGGTTATTTAGCTTTAAACCACCATGGGGTCAGAATTATTAATAATAGGCTACCAGTCGTATGTACGATTGCACTACCAGAAGCATGGGATTTCTAGGCTCATTTACAACGTCATTAAACAACTAATCTGGCTTCCACTATGGGAGAGCAATTATGTTTGCGTCACCCAAGCCATGCAAGGCCTGTGTGTATGCATACGTAATAAGCGTACGGACGCTAAACAGAGACGCCACGCTACTGCCCTATTCAGTAATTGTGTACGGTAATCATTGTCGCTCCCAACATCAATTGTTGCCATTTAATGCCTTATATAGAATTGTTTTCTTTTAATGTTTAACTGTTTGTATATTATACTATTCCGTATATCGCAAAAAGATCCAACAGAAATGAGGTTGAATCGATATTAATCAATGACGGTTATACTGCGTTATAGCTGGTATTGTTCAGTTATCGAAAACTTGTAGATAAATGGAAACGCACTTAACTTACAATGCCTCGTTAAATTGTACAAACTCCGAGCGTGTAAAGTATATGGAGTATTGAAGAAGTAGCTGATTACCTCCGGCCATTTCTTTGTTATAGAACGACTCTTGAATTTGCGTGTAGATGTTGACAC